TTTCTGTTGGAGTACAGCTGTAATAAGAGGCTAGACCACCATCATGCAGCTCTTGATCAGGTGTATTTATCTTTATGTAGTTTATTACACATTTCTATTCATTAGTTATTATTTTGTGGATTTAACCTGTCGTTCAAATATTAAGTGTCCAAACAGCTTTGCACTGATTGCTCAGCCTGGAATCAGCCAAATGTTCAGCTTGAAAGGCTTGACCAACCAACGCAGAAAAAAAAATCTGATTAATTTTTCTCTAAAAGGCTAATTCACATAATGTTTTGTGGAGTTAAGAAGACTTGGCTATCAATTTGTAAAACCTGTAAGATGTTGAAAGTCAACTTGGGCACAAAAGTAGAAGAAGCTACAAAAAGGAAACATAAATTTTCTACTCGACAGCTCAATAGCCTCTAGGTTATTCTTTATAGTACAAGCTTCAAGTTAAATCAGGGTTGTATTAAAGTCTAGCCTACATTGTGAGACCTAAATATTCTTTGTTAATAAATTTAAAGTCCAGTTTACATATAAGCACATTTAAATGATGGGAAGCAGCCTTCCCACCACCTTGGACCTCTACACTTCACGATGCAGGGGGAGGGCGCTCCGCATCATGAAGGACTCCACTCATCCTGCACACAGTCTGTTCCAGCCTCTCCCCTCAGGCAGGCGGCTGAGGAGCATTCAAAGCAAGTCCACCAGGATCAGAAACCGTTTCTTCCCTGCAGCTGTCAGATTGCTGAAATTGAGCTGCACTTAATTCAGCTTCATCGTACATTTTTAAACTTTATTTATTATGTATATACTTATACTCTTTTGTATTTATTTATTTATTTAATTGTTAGGTTTCTTGATCTGGGACCTGAGTCTGAATTTCGGACCACAAACATGCAAATGTGAGCTGGTATGACAATAAAAAAATCCTTGAATCCTTGAAATAACAGGAGTTGCTGCACACACTAAAGGTTCAGAAACATGCAAATGAAAAAGACAAAAATAAATAAATGTAAGTGCAATAATAAAATACAGTTGGAATAAAACACAATGCAATATCAAAAAAAAAAAAAAAAGACTTCATAACTCAGTGTGGTTTTAATGCCAAGGAGTAAAAATGAGTCTTTATGCAGGTTTTGAAGTGTTGGTGATGTCTTAAAGGGAAAGTTGTTCCAGAGTTTATGTGCATCTACAGCAAAAGCCTGATCTCCTCAGGTCATCCTGACCTCAGTCACCTTTTTGGACCAAGTGAAAACCTCTGGCAGGCAGGAAGGAGTGGACCTGTTCGGTGACTTTAAAGCATGCGATAAAAACCTCACTGAAACCTGTAATGAACTGGAAACCAGTGCAGAGAAGCCAGGACACGTGAGAGGCCGTGTTGCTTACGTCTCACCTGTCAGGAGTTAAGCAGCAGCATTTCAGACGAGTTGTAAACGAGAGAGCAGCAGCTGCAGCAAAATAAAGGCTGCTGCAGCTGAAGGCATGATTCATTTTCTCTAAGTCTGAACAAAAGAGAAATGCCTTTTATATTTTAAATAAATTGTAGTTTAACTGTTAAGATTCTGTGGCTGTGATGTGTTTCACATACAGGAACAATAAAGTTATTAAATGAATTACCAGTCTAACTCATCAGACACGATCGTAGCTTTTTCCCACCCAACATATTATCAGATATGTTGGATTTGCTTTAAAATGATGACTTGTAGTGTTTGTTTGGAGCTGTGATTTTTTTTTTTTTATGCTTTGAGGTGTATAGAGAATTAAAGGTTAAAAAAAATATTTTTACAGTTCTAGTATGAATGCACAATATTATCGGCATGGTATCTGTTTCGGCCCATATTAGCGATAAATTAAAAATATCGGGCGTCGGTCATTGCGTCAAAATAACTCACTGATATAAAAGGCACTGTTTATATATATATATATATATTTATATATCTGTTTTTGTATGACTGTTCGAGTGTTGTCGTTGTGTTAGAGAGAGAGTAAATGTCATGAATAAATTTGACATTAAACATAATCCAAGTTGAAGTGTTGCATCATTTTCAGCCCACTTTTTGGAATCTGCATTTGTTAGCAGACCAAATTGACAAAGACCACGACGAATAATGTAGTATTTTAATTATACAGCAGAAAAAGCTATGTAGTCTCTGTAAGTAGGTCTAGAGAAAAAAAATAAAAGTTATCGGTATTGGTATCGGTTATCGGTGATCGGACAAATGAGTTTTGACATAGCATATCAGATATTGGCCGATAATCCAGTATCATTCATCCCTAATTTCTAGTTAAAAAAAGTTATGATGTAATTCCTTTTCAGTTGGATTTTATGGTAAATGGACTGTACTCTAGCGCCTTTCTATCTAATCAAGATAAGTGCTTTACAACACAATCTGTGTTCTCGTTTACCTCCACACACACTTTCACACAGCACTCTTCTAGATCTCTGCAAAACTAATCAGAACAAATCATTCTGTAGAGACTAATCAATGCTTATTTAGATCACGTTCATACAAAGATGGGACACACATCGGAGGCAATGAGGGGTTCAGCGTCATGCTCAGGGACTCTTCAACATGTGACTGCATAGTGGAGGAATCGAACCCTCAACTCTCCCATTGGAGAACGACTGCTCTAACCACTCAGCCACAGCCACTTTATTTATAAAATTATCTGTTTTATATTCAGGAGGCGATCATTTCCAGTGACAGAAAGAAAATAACTGTAATCTGGTTCCGTTTTAGAGAAACTTTAAACTTTTTTTTTTTTTACTGTAAAAGTTTAATTATAACTACACAGTCAAATTTTTAATTCAACCAGACCTTAGTGGGGTAAAATAGTCTATATTTCCTGTAGAAGTCAGATTTGGCTGGTTAGAGCATGCCAAAACAAGAGGGTTAACTGGAATCAGACTAAAAAATTGGAAAACAAAATTGGCTTAGAAAACCGTATTAATGACACCTGTGTTTATAAAGTTTTAGCTTTGTTTCATTTACTTTCATAAAACTGAAAACAAAACTTAATTTGCGTGCCATGGTTTTACACAAAGATCTCACACAATCTGTTAGCGCTCAGAGTATTTATTGGGGATGACTTTCAGCCACTACCACACCACATTTGAGCTTTAATTTCTGCAAAATCTGATTGAAATGTAGCAATTTTTGTGGTGGCAAATGTTGACTTGGCAGTGGACATCTTGACTTTGACTCCAGAAGTTAATCAGTTGTAAGCATGAAATGATTACTTTATGAGAGATTCTTTAAATCTTGTTGTGTTTGTGTTCAACACAATGGTACTTCTTCCAGTTATTTAACTGTCACCTGTGGTGTACCACAAGGCTCAATCTTAGGACCCACCCTCTTTACAATCGACATAAGTAATGTAGGTCAGATCATTCATGATGCATCCATACATTTCTATACCACCGACACTGTTGTTTACTGTTGAGCTAAATCAGTTCCTAAGGTTTTCCAGCTTTTACATTCTGTATTTGACATCATCCAGTCAGATTTGTTCCATCTCAAACTGGTGCTAAATGCTGATAAAACCAAAGGAATGTTGTTTTCAAACAGGAAGTCGGTACCAGCTGTCCTTCCTTCTATCTTATCTATGAATGTTGTTCCTTTAGAGTTTGTCGATCCCTACAAATTATTGGGAATCTTGGTCGATGCACATCTCTCTTTTAAGCCTCATGTCAAAAACTTGATAAGGAAATTGAAAGTAAAATTATGTTTCTTTTTCAGAAATAGATCCTATCTAACTCTGAATGCTAGGAAATGCTTTGTAACTGCTACTTTCCTTCTGTCCATTGACTATGGTGACATTATTTACATGAATGCTCCTACAAGCACCTTTCAGTTGATGGATGCTGTCTATCACGGTGCGCTAAGATTCATAACTGTCTGGAACTACCGTACCCATCACTGCACCCTGTATTCATTGGTTAATTTGTCATTGCAAACTTAACACAGACTCTCTCACTGGTACATTTTCATCTTTAAATCACTTCTTGGTCTGTTGCCTTCATACATCTTCTACATGCCACGTTGTCAGTACAGCTACAGTGTGCACTCTCAAGACATCATTACCTGCAGCGTCCCCTCAGTACAGACTGAACTTGGCAAAAGGGCCTTCTCCTATTCTGCTCCTGTAACCTGGAACACCTTTTAAAAGATCTGAAGTGGGATAAGGGATTTTAAACAGTTAAGTTCAATGCAAAAATCAGATGCCAGTTCCAGTTTTTAGTATTTTACCCCGTTTCATGACATAGCTTGTTTTTTGACCATTTATTGTTGTGTGTACCTCATCTGTGTTCTCATCGTGAGTTATTTATGAAGAAAGTATTTGAAGGGATTTGATTCCTTTGCACCAGAAAGAGCACAGATGGGGTGGAGCCATGTGTGTTTGGTTTATAGCATATTGACATCAGTGTCACATATATTTAGAAGCATCCACAGCATCGATACAGGCAAGAAGAAAGACGCTCAGCAGAAAGAGTCTGAAGTGGTAACTTCATATCACACACACACTCTGCCACTGTTTAGAGTTTGTCGATGTGTTCACACACTCACCGAGCTCCTTCTCGTTCAGAGCTGCAATGCACGTCTGAAACAGAGCGTTTGTCTGTGTCGTGTTGAGAAGAACGGTGTTTGTTTCAGTCACCACTTCTTTCAGTGATGTCAAACCGTGACAAGAAACTTGCAGAAGAATTACCTGATGTGGAGTTTGCTTCCATTTGAAGATACTGACGTGGGGAGTTTCCGTTGGCCGATCATGTTATTAGGTGTAATTATGAAACCAAACAGGATGGGGCTGTATTGAAGGTCATCTGTTTTGGAAAAAAATAAAAGGCATAGAGCGAAAAATGAGCCTGAGCATAGGAAAGTTGATTTGTGTGAAGTGAATGTGTCAGAAGTTCTCCGTTTAAACATGTTTGTGCCCCTAATTTGTTACTGTATTTGGCATTTCATAAAACCAGAGGTAAAAGTTGTGTCTTTTTCTGCTTCCTTCCTCCTCAGTGTGCTGTTTTGTGGTTCATAAGCGCTGTCATGAATTTGTCACTTTTTCCTGTCCGGGGGCCGACAAGGGACCCGCATCTGACGTAAGTAAAGAAAGTGTACAAACTGTCTCGTTTTTGAATTTTTCTTTCTTGGCGATTTTTTTTAAATTATCATAATTTATTTATATTTTTTAAGGTCTCTTTAACAGTGACACAGACCTCTCCAGTTGGGTTCAGGTTGCATGTTTAGTCATACATGTGGGTTGTTTTGCAGTTAAATGGTTGTTAATGATGAAATGAGCCAGGTCAGCATTGGCTTTTTGTTTGCATATATGCCACTGGATGAACACACAGTCACACACACTGTGTGCATTTATATTTACAAGGATGTAGACTTTGTCTTTGCTGCTGACATCCAGCCCCAAATCACCCCAGGACATTAGTTAAGGAAAAAATGTGCTGCCTGGCTGCTTCTGCTTAATGAACTGATACCTTTTCTCCTAAGTTGCACACATTTTTGAAGTCATGCCGACATTTATTAATGGGTAACTGTTTTTGTTTGATCATAAGAGCTTCATATTCTATTTTTGTTTTTTTCCCCTAATTTCCCTCAGCCTCTTTTCCATGTTCTTCCACTCCAAATGTTCCTTCTTACTGAAAATTGAAATAGTATAAAATCATAAATACCTTTCACCTCTCTTGTACTGAGTAGAATTACAAATATAGCTTTGTGTTGTGTGCTAAATGTAAAATATGTTGACACAAACATAATCTAATTCTAATTGTTTGCGTTTATTTGACAACAGTTAACAGTTTTTAATGCAAACTAAGAAATAAATTAATATGGGAGCCATTTTTAATATAAAATATTCAGAGAGGATTCTGTTTGGAAAGTACATGTAGCAACTACAGATATAGTACTGAACATGTATTTTTTAATATATCTACTTTATTTAAATAAAGTGTTTCCCTAGTGGAACATCCTTTCACAGATGCTCTTGTACCTTTAGTGAGTCAGCTCATGAAAATCAGAGGTTTGAAAGGAGAGCAGACAGCAGTCTTGACTCATCGGAGTCTAGCAGCAACACTTGTAAAAGTGTCTGTTTTATTACAGACTTCAATAGTACCTTCACTCTGTTTTTTATTTTATTTTTTCCCTGTAGGATCCTCGTAGTAAACACAAGTTTAGGGTCCACACTTACTCCAGCCCCACCTTCTGTGACCACTGTGGCTCCCTCCTGTACGGGCTGATACACCAGGGCATGAAATGCGACCGTAAGTACACGAACCTCTCCATTTGTGTTTATTAGACTGTTGCATGACTGAAGAAGTGGCTTCAAAGGGACGACTAAGGGGTCTCATTTCAAATAGTTCTGAGGTCTGAAACACTGTGCACCATTGATCACAAAGATTTTCCTTGAAGGAAGTTGCAAACTCATTTACTAGTTCATTTGCTTGTTTGAATTTGGCTAATTTTAACAAAAAGTCAACTAGAAGAATTATAGATGTGCAACTTTTTTGGACAGATGGGCCTAAAACTGAGCTCTGCCTCGTTAATTTGATGTACAGTAGTCCCTCGATTATCGCAGGGGTTAAGTTCCACAGCCCCCCAGTATAGAAGAAAAACCACAAAGTAGGAACGCTATATTTATTTTAGTATTTATATATATTTAAGGCTTTATAAACCCTTTCCACACTCTTGCAATGTTCTGAACTCTTAAACCTACGTAATTTTAACAACATACATATATGTACTGTACAGTACTGCAAAATTTTACTCACCAGCTCTACAGACCAGCAGTTCTGTTCCAGTCGGGCTCTGTTCTGGTTCTGCAGACCTACCCTGCAGCGACGAAGCCCAACCCGTCCAGGTTGACGTGCGCGTGGATAATTGAGACTCAGGAACATTTGCGACTTTCCTGCCAGTTCTGTGATCTCAATAGATAGTGTAGATTTGTTTTGCAAAACTTTCCCTCCATTTCAGCAGAAAGCAGCGTCCGGAAGCACTGTTGGCTTCTGGGTAGTGTAGTTCTTTTAAACTGGCGATATAGGCTTATTGAAAGAAAACTACAAAATGGCGGCACCTGTCTGAATTTTTTTTCCCCGTTAACTTTTTATCTCGCATCATCCCAGTCATGTAAAATTAAAGTTGACAATTGTCGAAAGAGCGAATCTGCGAAAGTCGAACCACAAAATAGCGAGGGATTACTGTAAATGTACAAAATATAAGATTAGCACCTCTTAAAATATGTATGTACTCCAAGCTACACTAAGACCAAAGTGCGTTGTCGCCATGTTGAAATGCATGTCTCACCATGCACTTCTGGTGTAGCCTGGAGCACATTCAATAAAAATGATACACTATCTAAGGAATAATTACATAATTTTAAAACTGACTGCAATGTAAAGTTTTCTAAAACATCATTTGCCTGAACTGCTTTTGAACAGTTGAGATTGGAGTTAAGTCAATGAGTCTGTCAGAATTCAACTCAGTTTTTCCAAACTGAAGCTGTTCAAAGAGTAATCTACAGCTGGTAAGATAATAATTGTTTATAACCTTTCCACAAAATCCCACTTCAATACATCTGAGCTCTCTTTATATTACAGTGGTTCTCAGTTAGTCCAGCTTCGGGACCCACCATCACATCTTAAGACAAGCCGCAACCCATTTTACACCTTCTCAGATGTAATAATTGAAAAGATCTTGCAGTTTGAATCAGATATAAAATAGAATATCACAGTATATGCCATAAAATAACAAGTTTAGTAATAAACCAAAACAAACCAGCAAGTGGTGATGGTTGATGTCTTATAATTCTCAGATTGTTCCTCATATTCAGGTGTTTTATTTCCCAGCATTCTTTTTTGCACATTACTTTAAATATTTTGTCAGCGAACCCAAATATGTTCTGCCTGAATTTAGATCAAATGCATCACTTGCACCAATTCCCAGCATGATTTTTGACATTCCTTCAGGCGCATCCTATTTGTCAACACAAACAGGAAGTGCATCTCTGCACACCTGCATTCAGCCGTGACCGTCATTATCTATATTTCCTCTTTGCATCTATTAATAACGGGCAGCACTTGATGGACTTTGACTCAGCCTGTTCATGAATGCACTTCTTTTACATAATTCACCAACATGTTTGTTTAATATCAGAACATATCAAAACAACAAAAAACAACTTTAGATGTCTGATCTATTAACAAAAAGCAGCCTAAAATGAGGAAGTGCTGTGTGTGGAAAACAAAGCACACCTCGAGGGTTTAATAGCTTGAAGTGCCACATTTAGCAGCTTCTCTGTTTTTCCTCATTGTTGTGGAGGAATTCTGGTTCGCTCCTCTCTCAGAAGTCGCTCAAGTGTTAGAAGTGAATATGTTTACTCACAACTCGCAGCAGCTTCCTAACGAGACGAGGTCAGGACTTTAATTGGGTCATTAAAGCACCTCCAACTAATTGATTTTTAAACGTTTGTTTGTAGATTTGCTGCTGTGCGTTGAATTATCACCCTGTTCTTCAAACAGATTTCATCTCAGCTCATTCTCAACCTCCACAGGCCTCACTTTTGACTCTTAACACTTAACTAGCCAGTTTAGCTTCAGCAAAGTACTCGGATCTTTTTTAATCAAAGATGCTTTATATGTGACAACCGTTTCAAAACGAGCTGTACTTGTTTAGTTTTTGCACGTGCCATTGGCTGTAATGTATAACAAGCTGAGGCCTGTTGTTCCTGGTCGGTTTATTTTTGGTCCGAGTTTAAAAGGAAACACGTTCACATCTACTTCTGAAGAAATGGGCAACTTTTAATCTAGCCAGCCATCAACAGTTGCTTCACACTTGTGAATAAATCATTTTATGTAGGATTATGTAGATGAACAGATGCTGAGATATATTCATCATTTAACGCGAGTTCCTCATTTTTCTGGACTGAATAAAACGTGCACTGAATTTAAGGAAATGCAAAGTGAGACGTCATTTAAATTTGACCCATCAAAATGAATGCGGTCATTTATTTACAGAATCAAATTTAACATCAAACATTTACATTAATTTGGCAAATTATGAAAATAACAATATAAGCAATCAATCAGGAAAAATCATACGGCCATGATTTTTCCGTTGCTGCACCACAGACATTTATAAAACTGTACAACTATGATCTTTTGCCCACATGAATGTGGGTGAGCATTTTACACAGACATTTCTAAATATCTGGAAGAATTTCTACTTGATAGAAAAGTTTAAAGATGGGAAGAAGTTTAGAGGGAGTTAAGATTGAATGGGAGGGGAGGAATGTTCGCCAGAACCGACACTCTCCATCAGAAGCCCAGCTCGCCTCGGTACGCTTGGTAGGAAACTTGACCCATTACCTTTCTGATGATAATCAGCAGATATGGTGTTCCGTTAACGCTACCGGTCCAGCGTCTCCTTAGAATGGCTGTAGCTCGTCAGAAGTAGTGGCGAGGCTCTGTTCGACACACATTCACCTCAGTGGAAAATGTTATAATCCCATGGAACTCGGAAGAGCTTTGTTGTCATGTCAGGAACTCCAACAGCACTCCATCAGAACTCCAGAACTCTAGAAGTCTGACAACTCTCCAACTCCGTGAACTCTGTAACTCCGTGAGTCGTAAGTCACTCTGGGTACCTGTGAGTCCGTGTAGACCAGGAAGTACTGACATTTTAAAGACTCTTTCCCGGTTCACTTTTTGGGATTTTTCATTGGTCAGAAACGACCAGAAGGGGTGTGTTTTTGTGACGTAAGAGGTTAGAGACAGTGAGAATTGTTATGGGACAGCTCAGAAATGTTCTCACAGACCGAGAGGGTTCTGTTTTGGCGTGCCTAAGAAACAGGTGCAAAACATCTCTATTTACGTCTGAGAGGATTCTAAAACATGACAGTTTTAACATAACAACTTGTTTTTCGTTTGACTGTAACCTTGTAAACGCACACACTTGCTCATTCAAAAGCAGAAATCAGAAAAATGCATAATTACTCTGCAACAGCTTTTAACATGAGAATAAAAATCATTACTCAGTTAATAAAATTGATTAGTTCACTGCAACATCTAAAATGGTTTGAACTAAGACACTTTGATTATCAACATTTGTAAGATAGTAATGATAATAAAAAGAGAGTGTTCTTTTCACTTGAATCTTCAAGAAAGAAAGTCTCAGGATGGGTGAACCTGTATCTATGTATTCAAATACATGAAATGACAGCTTCTGTCCCACAAGGTTCTAAAGGTCAAGAGTTTTGACCTTAGACTGGGTTTCGACGTAGGCCTAGTCCACTACAATTATTAACTTTAAACAGTTTGGAAATGACTTTATAACACTTTTCAGATGAACAAGCAGCAACAGTTGCTTTTATGAGTTTATTGTTTTTGTTTGTTTTTTTTTCTCCATGGCTCTGCGTTAACACCCACCTGCATGTGTTAGAGCTACAAACTGACCAAACTTCTGCTTTTACAAAGCTGCTCAAACCTGCTGATCATCCGGTAATTTGGTGCATTTATTCAGCAGCACCAGCCTGGATGATGATATATGTCCTCTGCCATTTTAGTTTGATTAAAAACTGTAGGAGTGCACATATTATTCTAACTCTTATTTGATTTACCTCATTTCAAGACCAGATAAATATCAGGATATTTTGTGTTGTGACATGTAAAATCACTTGGGTGTATTTCCCTTTTTTGTGACTGGATGCTGGTTGTTCATTTTAAGACTGATTTATTTGTCATTCATTCATAAACACTACATTATAAAGTTTCTCAATCATCCATCCATTCATTATCTTTACCCACTTCTTCCTTTCACTGGTGTTCATGTCCAGCTATCACAGTGTGAGAGGCAGGGGACACATTGGACAGGTCTCCAGTCCATCACAGGGACACATAGAGACAAACGAGACAAACAACCATTCACTCTCTCACTCACACCTAGGGACAATTTAGAGTTACCAATCAGCCTAACATGCATGTTTTTGGTCTGCGGGAGAAAACCGGAGTACCTGGAGAAAACCCACACATGCACAGAGAGAACATACAAACTTCACCCAGAAAGGCCCCCGGACCGGTATTTGAACCGGCAACCTTTTCGCTGAGAGGCAACAACTCTACCGACTGAGCCACCGTGCCGTGATCCTCAATCATATCAATGCTATTAAAGTTTAGATATTTGCATCTAACTTAATATTAAATGCGTAGAAACCAAAACCTTTTTTTAATACAATTAAAAGAGAACAGGGCTTAATTTGTAAACCGATCCA